CATACTCCATGATACTTTCCTGCTCACTTTTGTGTTTATTGTCACCCCTCCCCTTCTGAATGTGAGCTCCACAAAAGCTGTATCCTCAGCAACTGGAACTGTGACTAGTACATGTTTGGCACTCAATGAATATCTGATGGATGGATCGACAGACGAATGTTTTCTAGGGTGCTTTACATCCTTCTCTGAATCTGGCATGATTTCATACTTCTGATTACTTCTCGACTTTATTACAACCACTTTGAATTATAGTAATTTTTTTAGAAAACAAAAGCTACTTACCCCAACCTGTAGTCAGATGCAAACTTAAAAGTCCAACTTATTCACTGTATCATGGAAGTCTTTCGTATCAACTTTAACTACCATTACCAAGCCCAGAGAGGCCCCTCAAGAAAACCCTCATGGCAGCCACAGAGGCTGGTACTGTTTTTGTTAATGTGGTCCCCTCTTCTGATGGTGTATCAATTTAACTTTTGTGGAGCTCGGTACAGCATGTACCAAACCGATGATAAATTGGTAGTATGGCATAAAACTAAAAGCTTTGTTAAGATCAAGGTGGGATGACTTGCAGTTCATTCCCTTTATCAGTCTTTCTCTTCTTCCTCAGAGAAACAAAGATAATTCTGACAAATTATTCCGTACAAAGGCATGGCTGCCTGTTTATCCAGTATCCTATTTCCTCTAAATCTGTGACAAACTGACTTTATGATGATGTGTTCATTAAAATCCAGGACCAATACCCTCCCTTTTAAACAAATATAATACACAAGAACTTTTTTAAATACCCTGAAATTGCCATTATTCTCCATAAATCTATAAATAAGGTATTGAAATGCCTTGCAATGACTTCCACACATTCTAAAAATGTTGTTGTAATTATGCTTAAAATTCATGTTCAGAATTCGCTCACAAAACGTAGTAATGGGGACCCACATTTTCTCATTATGCTCTGGCAAGAACACTCGTCCTTCTGCCCCATCCCCAACTGCATACATACCTTCACATTACAGAATGCCCCAGAGAACAGTCCTCAAAGGAAGGCTTTAACTAGAACTAACTATTCACCTTCTCATAACAAACCGCAAGAACTAAGTCTAAACTTACCAGGTCATCCATCATCTCTGGACTCAATCTTCCTTGGCTCTGCAAAATCACCCATGCTCTGCACAACCCTCCCATCCGAATTCTTCTACTGTGCCTTCTAGAACTCGTGGGCTGTCATCACCAAAATCCCCTTTGCTGTCATTCTCCCCTCCAGATGGTTCCCTTCACCTTTGTGCTCTAATGGAAACCTGGGTACTCCTCCCTGACTGCTCTCTATCCCCTGAAGTCCTCTCAAGTGGGGAGGGCTTCACTGCCCACATGCCATAAATCCTGGGGGTGGGGTAGGGGTCCTCTTTGTTCTCATCACTAATTTCAGATCATTCTTCCTCTTCCCCTTAAAAAAATAACACGTTGTTTGCCTAAAGCACATGCAATCACATGATGTACCAACTACACACAGGTGTTGCATTTATCTACAGAACTTCTGCCTCTGTTCCTTCGCTACTGACTGCTGCTGTATCCTTCCCAGCAGCAATGGCATGGCCAGTCACCATAAGCACTCTCTTGCGTAACTCTCAATTTCAGTACCCTTCTCTTCATATCAGACTCATCAGGAAAAATCCTAACCCTGGTTAAATCCTAACCCTCCACCTCCACTGCATGCACCAGAGCTGGGAAAAAGTGCACAACTGTGCTGGCTGGTCTCCCTTCAAATTTATAACCTCAAGTAAGCTATCAGCACTAGCAGGCGACCCTAATACATTTCCCTACTTAATTCACTCGTCCTCCCTCTGAGATGTCTATTTTCCATTTCCTCTCCCTCCCCAATTTTTCACACCCCTTCTTCCGCCTCAACGTCAGCTGATGACCTTGCTTTATGCATCTCTGAGAAACAGGAACAATTTTGCTCCTCTCCCTCCTCAAAGACTTTGCTCCTGCAGTCATCATCTTTCTCACATTATCAGTTTCTCCCTGTTTACTAGATCATTCTTGTCATCATTCAAACATGCTGTAATATCTTCCATATTTTTAAAGCGTCTCTTGACCCTAAATCCCTCTAAAACAACCACCTCATTTTTCAGTTCCACCTTTTGAGATGTTTTCCCATTTCTGTTTCTCGTACTATCATTCTTCTACTCTTTCACGTTAGGAACCCCAGAATCATCTTTGTATTTTCATCCCTCCCTTGTCTGTTAGCAGATACTGGACGTTCTTCTATCAAAATGGCGTGTTTCCATCTCTTCCTTGCTTTTCCCCGGCCATCCCCTAGACCAGTCTCTTGTGACACCACATCTAAATAACGGAAACAGCTCTCCAACAAGCTGCACCGAGCTCTCCAACAGAAACCCCACCTGCAAATTCCTTCCACGCCCCAAAACCCCAATCTGTCTATAACACTGATTTCTCCACGCTCTGCTGCTGTCGACTCATAAACCTACAGTGATTTCTGATAGCTCCTATCACCAGGCCTAACCTTCCTGAGCCACGTGGAAGACATTTCATCATCTGGTCCTGTCCTGCCTCCCCATTTTTAGTTCCTATTACCTATCAACATAAAAACTTGCTCTTTTACAGGAGTTCCCTGGTGGTCTTGTGGTTAGGATTTGGCGCTTTTATTGCCATGGCAAAAAAAAATAAACTTGCTCTTTTAGATTCATTTCCCAAGTGTCTTTCATGTAAGTCAAGCAACTCTCACTTGTACATTTTATTCTTTTGTCCGTATCATTCTTCTTCCTGGAATCCATCACCATCCAAATTCCAAATTGTTCAGACTCCTCCTCCTCCACAATACCTTATCATATAATGCCAGGTCACAATTTTTTGGCCCTAAATTCCTATAGCATTTCAAGTCTTCATTGCATTTATTAATGATTTAATCATATACAGTGATATACCATCACTAACTCTTTCATTTGCAATATATACTTGAATAGAAGTAGAGCTTTTTCTTCAAAATTATCTCTCAGGAAAGGGAAATCCCCCAATATCGATTTCTTACAAGGCCTCAAATATCACAGAGTGCTTTATTTAAAAAAAAAACAAGTACGATTTGTGGAAGATACATAAACCTTAAATGACCTCAACCAATCCTACTTCTGGATTATCAAGAGGCCATCAGACAGAATCTGTTAAAAAAAAACAAGCGGAGGAAGGGCATAGAGAAATTTAATCAGCCACAGTAATTATTCCTGAGGGAATGATGTCAAAATTGGAAGTGCTGGATCTTGTAAACAGCCTGAAAAATCAATACAGTCAATCTCCACACTGTAAAGATCATAAATACACACCTCACTAATTAAAAATGTAACCGTCCTAGTTTTATGTGAAAAGACACCGTGTTTTGGAACAAAACTTATTGTGATAACTTGGATTCAAAATCTGCTGCATCTCCAACAATTTAGATGGCAATAAAGAGGGTGTGCTCAGACAACAGTGTTAAATAACACAGAAATCAGCTCCAGCAAAGACAATGACAGTGACGGTGAGGTATCTGAAATATGACTAAAACAGTTTTGTGAAATGTAAGAACAGCAAAAAGTAATACTATAAATTGCTGTATTATTTTATATGACGTGATAAAATCTGTATGAATAATTAATTTAATAGACATTTGACCGCTTCATCTCTAGCCCTGAAAGTTTATACACTGAAGTTGGCAAAATATACTATTTTTTCAGCGGACAACGGGGGTGAAGACAGGGGGGAGCAAAGAGCCGCAAGACAATAAAAACGAGTTTGGTAACTGTGTTGTCTATGGCATAATGTGATTCAAAAAAGACTACATGGTTAGAACTTGGCTTGTCAGTCATCCACTGTATAGAGCTGAGTTTTTCAATTTTCAAATTCAAGGACTAGAATAAATGTTATCTAAGACTCTCTGTGTTCCCAACATTTTATTTCTGTTGTTTTCTATTGTACTCTCTTTTAAAGATTCAGCAGCATTGGTAAACACAAAGAGAAATGCTATTTTAGAGGCTACTGCACATTTCCCATTCTTTACTACCAATTAATATGTCTGAGAAACTTAATACAATTCAAAAACTTCAGCCCTTGCTCTACTGCCCTTATAAGCTTGATTTGGGACTTGGAAAATCCTGGGTATTCCAAACTATATTACCAACTTCTCCATCTTTGAGCAGCATCATTGTAGAGACAAAAGGTATATTTAAGAAAGTCTCGTTCAGTCTTCTTTTTATCCTGAGCAGAACCTGGGGCTCAGCAAGAGTTCAATGCTGATAGGGGCAGGGCTGAGACTCAAGCCCATGCCACACCCTCTGTTAATTCTGGTGGCAAGGCACAGCACTCAGCTCTGGGCATGCCACTCCTAATTATTTGATTACTTCATATTTTCAATTCCTAAATTTCTTTTCTAGGTTTTATGCATGAATGTATAAATGTCATGGGCCACATTATTTTGTTATTTTAATGTGATTTCTGACTTCTTTCCAGAGGGGAAGCACCCAATGACCCATCCACACCTATATGATTTTGAGCCAATCTCAGCCTCCGATCGCCACTGCACAAATCTCCCACCTCTTCTAAAGAGATGCACATTCTTGCCAGATGAGCTGCATTTCTAATTAGCGCTCTCCTCATGGAGCAACATCCTATGGTAAATCACGCGGAATGGACGTGGTAACAACAGATGCTGACCTCAAGCATGCCACATGTGAAATCATCCGCTATGCAGAGGTGACCTAGGCAGGCTGGCACAAACTACCCTGGCGATACTACTGCAGCATGACCATTCCACCGCTTTCAGGAAACACACACGTGCGTGGACACACAGGCACAAACATGCCATCACGTCCAGACCTAGTCAACATTCTGCATCTTGTTTGAGATCAGCAAAGCTACCAATTGCTCTAAGCTTGTCTTTGCCTTTTCCAGCTCAAATACCATCACTGCTCAGAGCTACACAATGCTAACACTTATGATTGAAAATGTGTACTTACCTTCAATCCTCTTTAAAGCTGAAAGGCACATATCCTTCCTTGGAAACTCAAAGGGATTGTTACAGGTTCGAATGGTGTCACACTCACATTTCCCATTGATTATATTGCAGCCAGAGACAAGGTTTTCATTGCATGGTTCAAAACCAAGCAGTTGGTCATCATCCCAGTTCTCATCTGTAAAACAATTAACAACCACATAATGTTTGCTTGTTAGCTTCATTCAAAGGCCCGTCTGAGGGCTTCCCTGGTGGCGCAGTGGTTGAGCGTCCGCCTGCCGATGCAGGGGACACGGGTTCATGCCCTGGAGCGGCTAGGCCCGTGAGCCATGGCAGCTGAGCCTGCGTGTCCGGAGCCTGTGCTCCGCAACAGGAGAGGCCTACGTACCGCAAAAAAAAAAAAAAGGCCTGTCTGAAAGCAAAAATGTGCGAGGATGTCAAGATTAACATCCGATTCTGACACCTCAATTTACGAAACGCAGTTTGGCTGCACTTTTACAAATGAATGAAACCCAACCTCCTAAGAAAACAGAAGACTGAAATATAGCCATACACGTCAACATTAACTAGCTATATATACAAACGTTTCTGATCAAAAACCACTACTCCTTTGATGTGTTATTACAGAAACAATTGAGATTCCTTTAAATTTCTTCATTTTAAACAAAGATTCCAGAATTTTTCCATGTTCAATAAAACTACATCTGTCAATCTACAAAATTATTCCAAAAAACCCCCAAATTTTTTACCCCATCTGGTAGAGACCATCTTCAGGTTTAAAACAGCTCTGCAACTTCATATACCAAGGCAGTGCTAATAAATGTAAACAGACACCACCCAAGGAGTCAGGAATGGGATGCAACGGAGGAGGTGCCCTCCAATGCACTTCAGTAGAAATGCTAAAGTCCATTACTGTCCACAACCAAAGCCAGAAACAACAACAAACAAAACTAAGGGCTACAGCCTAGTGAGAGGCTGAGGTCGTCAAAGTCTGCGGCTGAGACCATATCAGGGTCCTGGGTCATGAAATGGAGTTGACTGTAAAAAATAGATTTTAAAACCAACTTTCATGGGAACCAGTTCAGACAAATGAAACAAACATGACAGAACCACAGCAAGACTCAACCCTTAATAATATTCCTCATAGTTGAAATGCCTCTTGTAGGAAACCAGACTATTTCTCTGAGTCTCTGTGATGTTATGAGTTTTTCCCCCCTCTTAACATTATCTTTAATAGATACTTTATCACACCTTAACTGGGCACTGACTATTAAATAGTAAACATGTTTCTGATAACCATATCTGGAGAGAATCTTTTAAAAGTGCTTGAATTTAAGATACTTAAACTTGCTGCTCAAAGTAAGGCAGGTATAAAGACATCTTAAGAATGTCTTTTCACAAAAGACAGCGCAAACAAATGGCTATAATTTTTATAAGGCTAACTTTTCCTTCTGGTGACATAGTTGACTTACTGCCTAAGTCAGGAAAAGACTGTTCTCCCTCACTGAAATAAATAATTTTCTTGTCAAGGGGTCTTTAGAAGGATATCATTTACAAAATAAAGAGCTTCAGGGTGATTATTTGAAAAGGGAGAATAGAAAATCTCCTGTGTTTTGATTTCAGAAGATCAGGCTCTCTTATTTGATCAAAGCTTCATCTCTTAGTAAAACAATTTTAGAAGTTTAAACAAAAACACAAGGTATCTGTTTTAAGATTTATTTTCCTATTTAGCCTGTATTTGGTCTTTAGAAATGACAGGTATATAACATGTATACACACAACGGGACATTCCTATCTTCAAGACAACAGTGAAATTACTAAATTACTTTGAAAGGAAAACCAGAATAGAATATACTGAAACAACTCAACACAGTAAAGTAGGTGATAATTTAGTCTTTGGTTATAACATGCGATGAAATGGCTCACGTAAACAATTTCTTACCTCTATATTTAATTGTTGACATGTTATTAGTACCACCAGCAAAATTTACCGTAAAGCAAGTCTTTTGACCGTATATTCAAATTTGTAATTCAAAATTAGTTCAACCCTAGGAACCTAAAAATCAGTAAGAAACTCAAGTAACATTTGAACTACTGAAAAACTGTATTTCTCCTCTTTCCCATCCCATATTCCAAGAAATCTTTATTACTATCTTCGTAAATATATGCAGTTAACGTATCACCAAATCAAATGGATTCTGATGCACATTTTTTTTTCCACAATAAACATCCCTTCCCTCCATCGTAACTGGAACTCCCTGAAGACATCACTCTCCTGAACCACTGCAGCATCCTCTAACCTGTCTCCTTGCACTACCCCATTTCCCACACTGTCAACCAGCATCATCTTCCTCAAAAGACAAGCCTGGGGCTTCCCTGGTGGCACAGTGGTTGAGAGTCCGCCTGCCGATGCAGGGGACACGGGTTCGTGCCCCGGTCCGGAAGGATCCCACGTACTGCGGAGCGGCTGGGCCCGTGAGCCATGGCCACTGGTCCTGCGCGTCCGGAGCCTGTGCTCCGCAACGGGAGAGGCCACAGCAGTGAGAGGCCCGTGTACCGCACAAAAAATAAATAGATAAAAAAAATAAAGGACAGAGCTCATTGGTTCTCTCTTGCCAACAAGTCCAAACATCCTAATGCTCCAATAAGCACACAGATTCTCACTACAAACCCTCAATAAATGCTCCCATGCCTTTGCTCACAGAATATCATCGCCTGGAACACCTCCTTCTCTCCTTCCTCTTGATAACTCCTATTCGTTTTTCAAGACCCAAGTCACATGTTACCTCTTTGAGAAGTCTTCTCCAACTCTGAGCTCTCTATCCTCCAAGCTCCTACAAACACCTGTGCACACCTCTTACCCATTCTAATAATGGTTTCACGCAAGTCTAGCTTCCCCATTAGACAAAGAGTCCTCACGTGCAGGAGGAGCCAGGTCTTATCCAACTTTGAACCCCCTTAACCCCAGGACTTAGTACAAGTGTTCAGTAACTCTACCTAGTTTTCCATGTCACTGGTATGGTCAATGCTGTTGACTACGCTTTTTTTTTTTTTTTTTTG